GTTTTTTTCTAGAAATTTCTAGGTGTAACTTTGACTTTTCTGTGATTAGTTAGGGTTTGGATGCGATCTGTCCCCTGGTAGTAGAATAACAGAGACGTTAGATAAATAATGAGGTAGACGTCCGTTTTATTGTGAATCAATACTGATGTGGCGAAAAGATGTAGATCATGTAAACGACATTCACCCATACTGGGCTACAAGTTACTCCGTAATCTTGTTGTGGTGCCCAGGATAAGTGTAAATGTTGAATTAAGAATCGACATCACAGTACTCGGGACAATTCCATTAAGAGCTGTATCCTCATTTTCTGCGGCAAGCGAAGAGTTTCAGTTCTGATGATACCAGTAGCTGACTGTATATCCGTCTCACCTTACCCCCTGAATGCTTAGCATCGGACATATCCTCTGGTAACTCCCCGCAGTGCCATTTTCCTCAGACCATAATGATCTGTCTGTGCATCTAATGATCTGTTTGTGCATCCACTCTGTTCACTCGCTGCCAAAGGACCCTCACAATATCTAGCTTATCACACGTCAGTTCACCACTCAATGGTGCAGAACTGGCCATCTATCTGCCTGCTCATTTCCCCCACACAAGCATAACCTGATATTGTTGAACGATGTTTCCGGACCTTTACCGGTGTGCTTCTCATCCTTGAGATGTTAATCCTACAGACTGCAATCTTCAGTTATAAAAAAATGTAGGAGAGTGATAGATGAAAAGAGATGAAGCCTTATTACAGGTTTTTGAAAACGGAGTCTTACAGCGAATCTTTGGCCCCATCAGAGGTGCAAACAGCGGGGAATGGAGAGTGAGAAGCAACAACGAAATTCATAATCTGTTTAAATCACCACTGATCACTGGCATCATGAGAGTTAATAGACTGAAATGGTTGGGGCATATTGAAATATTGTCAGATGACAGAGAAGTAAAAACTGTTCACAAGGGAGATGAATGTTGTAGACCACAAGGCATCCCAAGAAGACGATGGAGAGATAATATCCAGACAGACGTGCAAACACTTAGTGTTACCAACTGGAAAAAGAAGGCTAACAAGAGAGATGAATTGCGGCGGGTGATATCTGCAGCAATCAACATATAGGGCTCGGAATGCGAAAGAAGAAGAAGGAGAGTGACAGTGTTATGACACACAATGAGGGACTTTACATGGGAGCACCAGAAAATGGAATTTTAGGGGCTTAAAAATGATCAATGATGTTTATCTCCTCTGCTAATCTCTAATTCATGTGTTCTTCTTATTCTTCGCGTTCACCAGCTGTAAACTCTGGCGGCAAGTTCTGGTTGTTCGTCCACTTCTGGACTGCAGTCCTGTTCCAGAACTGGAGTATTGTGTGTGCATATGTTTGACAGATCTTACTAATTTGTATGCAGACTTTTTGTTCCTTGCCTCTCAGGCAGATGCACTTAATGCTGAAGAAGAAGACGAAGAAGCGCAGTGCTCCTCTGCCCTTCTCTTACACACAGACCCAAGAAAACACCCCTGTTTCGCAACTTACCTGACACCTCACAACAGATATAACACATTGTTTCACGACCAACTTGACACCTCATCACAGATAAAACACACTGTTTCACGACCCATCTGACAACTCATCACAGATAAAACACATTGTTTCACGACCCATCTGACAACTTATCACAGATAAAACACACTGTTTCACGACCCATCTGACAACTCATCACAGATAAAACACATTGTTTCACGACCCATCTGACAACTTATCACAGATAAAACACACTGTTTCACGACCCACCTGACACCTCATCACAGATAAAACACATTGTTTCACGACCCACCTGACACCTCATCACAGATAAAACACACTGTTTCACGACCCACCTGACACCTCATCACAGATAAAACACATTGTTTCACGACCCACCTGACACCTCATCACAGATAAAACACATTGTTTCACGACCCACCTGACACCTCATCACAGATAAAAGCCCATTGCCACAGCGTTGATATCAATCATTGATTGTCAGAATCAATCGACCTGGCTCTAAAAATATGAGGTTAGCATAATATACAGGTAGGCGCCGTGGTGTTGCGGCTAGACTCTCGTTTGCGGATTCAAAGGTCGTGGGTTCAAATCCCAAAGGTGCAGGACTCTGTATCCAAGACTGTCGGTCTTGCCTTTGCTTAAGTTACAATTGGGTAGCTGGGGGGAAGGGTTAGGGGCTCGATTATGGTCAGAGGAACAAACCTTCTACAATGAATAACAAACAGCAATTCACATAAAATAATTGCCCATATGTTAGCTATGCTACAGACAGGACTTGTGTCCTTGGACAAAGGACACTCATTTATCAAAACATACGAATTTCCGTTCTCAGTTTGTCTACCCAGGTCGACCCAGCCTTGAGTGGGTACTGGGCCCAGTCCCGGGAAGTAGAGGCGCCCGGCGTGATGCTGACCACATTACCCATCTTGTGCCGATCGGTCTATAAAATATAGGTCTAGCCCTATATGCCTAAAGGTGTGGTACAGGGTCCTTTACTTGTTTCAGTTTGTCTATCAGAATTGGTAACTCCCAGACCCAACAAGACGGAACTAGAAACAAGTGAACTGCGATGTGAATGTGACAATACCAATTGATTGTTGGGTTGTCTGAATAAGGAAGGCTAGTCACAAATGTTTGTTTATTTGACGGATCCACTTCATGGCACACGGGTGAAACCCATAAGTGCTCCGTTCAACTTCTAACTCAAGCCTGAGTTTGAAGGTTCTCAGCGCAGTGCACAAACTCCGTTGCACCGGCGAGGATTCGAAATACTTTGAGTATATTTTTTAAACTGCAAATGTTGCCTGGGCAGCGCTGTTTGGCTACTCTTTTCGATTTCCTACCGCCAAGCGATTTTTTTTTACGTGCGCAAGAATACACACGGACAGTCACTAGAAGTCCTTCCACGTGAAAAAAAAATCCCAGCCTTTACCGGGGCTTGAACCCGGGACCTCCAGCACTCGAGATCACTCAGCCACAAAAGTGTGCACTAAGCCATCTTTAGGAACATTACATGCTGAGATCATAGGCGCCAACACTAAGAAAACATTTGGGGGGGGGGGTCCATAACAATTAACACTATGAGGGGGGAGGAGGGGGCGCAGCTTATAACCAATTTTGCTAAAAGGTGTGGAGTGGGGGCTAAGAAATCTAACCCTGTTTAAGAGCTTAATATTAGTAACACCGAATAGCTTAAAAAAATATAATAATATAATTCAAAATAAAATTCACAGAAATAATTATGCATGATGGTGGTGGGGCGTTACAGTGGCAAGCTTTGTGACTTAGTGAATGAAAAACTATATAACTACACAGGCGCCAGAATCTTGAGGCGAGGGAGCTGGTCACTTAATATTTTGAGGGAGCTGTGTCTTTCCCCCCACCCCCCTAAATCGTTTCCTTAGTAAATTCACAAGGGTCTAAGCACCCATCCGCCCACCGTTTCCCATCGTTACCTCAGTAAATTCACAAGGGTCTTAGTCCGCCCCCCCCCCCCCAATCATTTCCTTAGTAACTTCAAAAGGGTCTAAGGCCCATCCCCTTTCTTTTCAATCGTTTCCTTGGTAAATTCACAGAGGTCGCCGCTACCATCATCCCCCCCCCCTTTCCCCAATCGTTTCGTTAGTAAATTCACAAGGGTCTTAGCGCCCCCCCCCCTCTTCCCCAATCGTTTCTTGTAAATTTACAGGGGTCTAAATGCCTCCCAATTTCCATGAATCTCCTTGAACTGGAACCCACTAGTTTTAGAGCCTGAGACATTTGGCTTAACCTCTCAGATCCAACACACACACATACACACTAGCAGGACTGAACATCGGTGAGGCTAAGATATATGAATCTGTCAGGCCACCAATGGGGCATGCCATTTATTGTTTAATAGAGAATTATACTTCAGTGAACTATACTTTCATCTGAGTGGAGATGAGAACTGACATTCCCATAAGCACCCCGTCCGCCTCTTCAGCTGACAACATACAAAATGAGGTTATGCTTGTTCAGAAAAATATTCAGACAGTATCAAAAATCTTCAATTCAAGGAAAGCTATCGCAGATCAATTCTAAAGAGGCCAGTTACCAGGTCATCATGTACCAGTTCCTTTGTAGAGCGTCGCTCTCAACTCAGTCTGCCTGAAAGAAACTCGGTCTCTCGCCAGTTCTCCCGCCTCATGCACTTTCATACTCAAGGAGTCACTTACATCCTGCAGTTGCCAGCACAACAATAAAATACAATCCATAAAACTATTTTCTCTGTACAGTACATGCCAGTTGGTCTGTTCAGTGCTGTCTAGTCCAGTGTACTGCCAGTTACGCTGACACCGACACTTCTGCATCAAATGATGCCAAATTAACATGTTTCTTGGTCCCCCGGCTTCATGTCCCCTTTAACTTTTCTGTTATCACAATGTAGGAACATTACAAACAGTAAAGTTACATCCAGTGTGCAATTCCTCTAACATAAACCAATCTTAAACAACTTCGCATATATATCTCATTCGTTCGCCTGCTGATCTGAAGGTCGGGGTTGACGAAGCCGGGTTTCTGTTTTCTCCGAGAAAAAAATAAATAACCTTGGCTCCCAGCCTTGAACTGGTACCAGGAACAATTCTGGGAAGTAAAGTCGACCAGCGAGATGCTGACCACATCACCCACCGACTGATATAGTCTAGGTCTACCCTCTATACCCAATACATTCGAAGGGTCCGTTACGTTAATTTACCTATATATTCCCTATTACACACAACTCCTTATTTATTCCTCACACATAACTCTTCATCTGTAACCGTTCATACATAACCCATTACGTGTAACTCCTCGCATATTTAGATTTTATAATATGAAATACATTGTAAATAAACTTTTGAACAAATTAACCCACAGACATGGCCGAGAACACAGACTGAAGTCTGCGGACTCCTTCACCATATAAAACAATCTGTAAAATACATGCGGAGAAAAACATTGCGAAACAACTCAAGTCGCTATTTGGTCAATCTTAGCTAAGACAAAGGCACATCGGCTGGGTATGTACACCTGAAATATTTAAGGACATCAAGTTAAACAGTGTTGTCATTTAACTTATAACTGTCAAGATTTCATGGTATAGTGCAAGCGGACTTGCCTACTGCAGTGGATGTTTTGGAGTCAGCTGGTCTGACTGTTTAAAATTAAGAAACTGTATGCTCAGGTGTATGTGTGTCATATCTTTTTCTTGTGTTCGCTTTTCTGATTGACACCGACAGACAAGTTCTTGTGATAAACTTGACAGTTTTTAAGAGTTACCTTTTAGTTCCGTACAACTATGAGTGCAGTCTTGACTCACTGGGCCAGTATTTCCTTGTTAAAGGGCTGTACAACGGACATTCTTGCAGGACATGTTCTGTAGTCTGCACACACCACCCGCAAGTGCAAACTCGTGAACTACTTAGAGGAAACCTGTGCCTATGTTTGTTAAGTTCGTTATGTCCTGACTTGAAGCGTAAAATAATGACCTGCCCATGTCGGTCAAGTAAGTGGTGGTCATCTCTGGCCAGACTCTGTTCTCTTCCGCTGTGTCACAGCAGGACTGAACTTGGGTGAGGCTAAGATATATGAATCTGTCCGGCCCCTAATGTGGCATGCTATTTACTGTTTAATAGTGAATTATACTTCAGGGAACTATACTTTAATCTGAGTGGAGTTAAGAACCGACATTCCCATGGGCACCTCGTCCCCCTCTTCAGAAGTCAGTATCAGAATCAGTTTGATTGTATGTCCGTCTTGTCTGTCCTCTGAGCGTTGAAAGTCGGCCAGATCCCACGGTACATCGCCGATGCACCATTATCTCCAGATCTATTTGAACTTCTGCACATTTCCCTTTTTCCATAAAATATTTAATTATATTTACGATAAATTTCAGATTAATATATTATTAACTCTACAAGTCCCATGCAGCGTGTTATGCATAAGACTTTTCCAAACTCCCACCATTGAGTAATGTGTTCACAACTATCTTATTGTTGCCTATATATTGGTTGCTTCCTCTAAACAGTTTACTTTTTTAAATGTTTTTCATTCGTGACCTTTCACATTGGTCATTCATTTCCTTGGGCATTTGCTGTGAGAATTCACCGGAACTGAAAGAGTTAATTGCATGTATTTTTGATAGCCGTGATCTCTATTACAAATACAGTATACCAGCTGGAAGCAATGAAACGAAATTAGGTAGGTGGGTAAGTTGTACCCCACCGGGAAATCACCCAAGCGATAAACACCCGGTGACACAAAAACACCCGGTGACACAAAGCGCTATCATGCCATCCAGTTTGTTTTAGAGAATATCGTGGGTGGTTTAAAATTAGTTTGGTTTGGTTTAAAAAACGTCCTAGGTGGTTTCAAAAGTGTCCATTTTAAACTGAAAATAGTTTATATATATATATATATATAATATATATATATATATATATATATAATATATATATATATAATATAAACATACATACATACATACATACACACACACATATATTATATAGATATTATATATATATATATAATATATATATATATATATATATATATATATATACATACATACATACACATACACACATATATATTCAAATATACACACACACATACACACGCGCGCACAAACAACTTTTAGAAAATACTCATTTGTGTTGAATTATCTCATTGCGTGCAGACACTGATAAACGTTGACCTAAATTAATTACAGAAATGCTAAGAAATGTCTAGACAACATTAGTCTAGACAACACTAGTCTAGACAACACTAGTCTAGACAACATTAGTCTAGACAACACTAGTCTTGACAACACTAGTCTAGACAACACTAGTCTTGACAACACTAGTCTAGACAACATTAGTCTAGACAACACTAGTCTTGACAACACTAGTCTAGACAACACTAGTCTTGACAACACTAGTCTAGACAACATTAGTCTAGACAACATTAGTCTAGACAACACTAGTCTTGACAACATTAGTCTAGACAACACTAGTCTAGACAACACTAGTCTAGACAACATTAGTCTAGACAACACTAGTCTAGACAACATTAGTCTAGACAACACTAGTCTTGACAACACTAGTCTAGACAACACTAGTCTTGACAACACTAGTCTAGACAACACTAGTCTTGACAACACTAGTCTAGACAACACTAGTCTTGACAACACTAGTCTAGACAACATTAGTCTAGACAACACTAGTCTAGACAACATTAGTCTAGACAACACTAGTCTTGACAACACTAGTCTCCACAGTTATCAGTCGAAGAATATAGAGTCACATCTGGCCCATCATGAGCAGAGGTGGACTGAGAATCAATAGACAAGCACTGAAATCGGAAACATGTAGACTGGCGAAATTAGTACGCTCAAGAAGAATCATAAGATACAGTTTTTGAAAGAAGCTATAGGCGTGGGATTCAGTTTCATACATGCTATACAAAAGATTGCACAAGTTAGATCAGAATCGAGGAACTGGCTGAGTGACTGACTATGTGACGTATAAACGGCACAACAGAATGATGATTTTATTAATTATGTTGTGACATTGATGGAAATATTCATATTTGTTAACCTCCATCATCTGAATCTATACACCTGAGCATGCATGAGTAGCAGGTAATTAAATACACCTGAGTATGCATGAGTAGCAGGTAATTAAATACACCTGAGTATGCATGAGTAGCAGGTAATTAAATACACCTGAGTATGCATGAGTAGCAGGTAATTAAATACACCTGGGTATGCACGAGTAGCAGGTAATTAAATACACCTGAGTATGCATGAGTAGCAGGTAATTAAATACACCTGGGTATGCATGAGTAGCAGGTAATTAAATACACCTGGGTATGCATGAGTAGCAGGTAATTAAATACACCTGAGTATGCATGAGTAGCAGGTAATTAAATACAACTGAGTATGCATGAGTAGCAGGTAATTAAATACACCTGGGTATGCATGAGTAGCAGGTAATTAAATACACCTGAGTATGCATGAGTAGCAGGTAATTAAATACACCTGAGTGTGCATGAGTAGCAGGTAATTAAAAAGCGGACAGGCTAGCAAGTAATGCACGAAATCAAACGACAATAAGCATTGGCAGAGCTGCTATCATTAGTATATAAGGACACTACAACGCATATTTTGACCCAGTCAAACCCCCCCCCTTCCCCCCCCCCCCCCCCCCCCCCCCCCCCCCCCCCCTCCCCCCCCCCCCCCCGCTCCCGACTTTAAAAAAAAAAACCTATATAAACCCTGAAACTGTCCCCTTATTGCCCGCCTCTGCTCATCACCGCCCCTGAAACTATCTGACCCTCTACTCTGTGGGCCCCACAAGAATCTTACCCGAGCCGCCAGGTGACCTATATATAGAGCCTCACATTGATCCACAGATGACGCCGAGCCACCAAGCGACCTCAAACATCAGCGTTACTCTGACCCTGAGCCACAACTGACCTCCACCTCTCGCTCGGGGGGTGAAAAAAGTTTTTTCCACAATTTATCATGTGAAGGTGATTTAATATAGCATAAGGAGGGAAATTAACAAAACAAGTAATAACAAAATACGCGTCATAATGCCCTTATACAGTACTGATATCATCAACTCTGTACGGACTTGACTAGGGGGGAAAAGTAGAATATCTGACGCCAACACTATTGCTTAGTAGAGGGGAAGGAGGCAGATCAAGAAAGACCTAGATACAGAACTCGATTGACCGGACGGACCTTATCCTGAAGTTCATCTCACTTGGCCGTCAAAGGTGGAGGGAGCCAATCATGCAGTCAACAGCAACTGCTGATCCATGACAGGCAGTGTTATGTTATGAAGATGATGATGATGAACACTATTGGGTGACCTGGAAGTAAAACGTGTCTATACCATCTTTGAGGTCAACGAGGAAACACTATAACCAACTGTATGGGTACAACAGTATAGGTACCTTGGAGTGACGTTGATTGTGATAATTTAACATAACTCACATATGTATGATTTGCTCACAAGACTCTGACAGAAATACACAATGTAGGATTATCTCCCTTGTGACACTGAAAGAAACGCTCACATATGAAAAATCATCTCATGACATTGATTGGATACTCACATATGTATGATTTGCTCGGCTGCACCAAGGGTTCGGGAATGTAAAAAACTGCACGTTATGGTCAAGCCGCTTATGACCACCAAATTCCTCATCATCTGTGTCTAGAACTATCTTGTAGCTGGGAGACGGTTAGGGATTCAACAATGTTAACTTTATCCCATAAGCTACACTCGCCTACATCTCAGTGGTACCTCAGAGGGTACAAGCTAGTATATTAAGGTAAATGCGCGAGTCAAGAACTGACATTACTGCACTCAGTACATTCCAGCAAATGTTCTGTCTCCCTACCCCTGTCGCTATTGAAGAGTTTACAGACTGATGATAATCAAGAAATCGCAGTTTGAACTTCATAGGCAGACCAAGAAAGACCTGGATACAGAAATCGACTGACTGGACAGACCTTAGGCATGCAATCTTGAAGTTCATCGCATCTGGCTGTCAAAAGTAGATGGGTCACCCCATAGTTACTCTACTTCCCTGTCAATGAAAACCGCACCAGATGTCCATCACCACCCCTTGAGGGGTAAAACAGACACAATTTGCAATCTCAGTATCTCTAGCAGCATACACATGCACTAAATGCATAAGTCAGTCATCAGAAGTGCTAACATAAACAGTCCAACACTAGAAATGCAGTTCAACATCGATTGAAGCAGCAGCTTAAACAGATCAGGAGCTGCACACACAGTTAATCACATTAAGGCAACACCAGTTAGTCCTGTGGCAATAGGCCACTCGCCATTTTTGAATCTTCAGTTCTCACCACCAACCACGTTGGTCACAGTCAAAAGAGGTTTCAAATTAAATCCGCAGCTCACAGTGCCGCGCCATGCAATCAAATTAGCAGCTGGGCGACCAAACTATATACTTTCAGTGTACATATAGAGGAAAATACCACAACCAACTATTGTCAGAATAACAAACTTGCCACGAATAAAAACAGTAAATAGCCTCCAAATTGACAGGAACAGTTGATGGTGCCAGATGAAAACAGATTAAAATGCGCAGCTTTCATTTGTATATTTTGAATTTACAACAAAATTATACTTATAAAATACACAGTTTTTTTTTTTTAAATTAGATAATTTAGAATTCAATATTTTGTTCAGGCCTTCCCTTTTTTTTTTTTTAAATATCTAGAGAACATGAGTTAACCCTTCGGTTCAGTACTATGGATATTGCAACACTTCGGCTTTGAATCCATGATAGATACCGTAAATCTGAGAGAAATGCGGCTTTTCTGCCTACCCGGGGGCGTGAACCCGGACCACAAGGAGTTCGTCACCCAGTCGCCGCGAAGTTAGGTTTAACGAGCTACGCTAGCGAGCCGCGTTTGTTCAAGCTTTTAAAAGCTGCCGTTGCCTTGTCAATGCATGTCCTAATTTCCTTCCCTTGTGTATCCTTGGCAGTTTCAGTTGCTCACTGAATTGGTAAAGTCATCTGTTGCTTTGATTCTTGTTATCTTAACAGGAAAGTCTCCTTGATCTGTTATTAGTGTCTTTAGTATGTTTGTATTTTCATAACTGATCTGTAATCTAACCAGTTATTCGCTCTATCATCTGCTTTAGTTTGCAGATCATCACACAAAGGTTAAGGTTAAAGCCGGGTAAATTGGCTTAATTGCATCAGGTTTTATTCCACATGGCCAGCTCTCTCTCTCTCTCTCTCTCTCTCTCTCTCTCTCTCTCTCTCTCTCTCTCTCTCTCTCTCTCTCTCTCTCTCTCTCTGTGGAAAGGCTAGCTGCCTGCGGGGAGGGTCCACGAAAATACAGATAACAAAGACCGTAGCTCCAGAGACGATACCCAATGGTCTCCTTAAAAACTGCACTTTAGAACAAAACGATGAAGTCTGGAAACGAACCCACGACAATCACAGCCTGAGACCAACAGCTTGACCACTGTGTAGAACAATATCTGCGAAATCTTGGGTAAATATAGTTTTCAGATAACCTCTTGTAAGAGTTGATGGGTCTCAGAGATTTCTCTAGTAAAGGCAATTCTGACGATATTAACCGATGTATGTCATTCATTAGACCCCCCCCCCCCCGTTTTTTTTGGGCAAAAAAAAAACAACAACCCAGGAACTCAAGGTCCAAACAGTGTGCACCTGCGTGTGACAACAATTATATTATTAGCTCATGGTAATCTATTTGTCAGTGTAAGTTCTTCTATCCTATAACGTTATTGTGTTTATTTTCCTTTGAGGAGAACACACTGGTGGCTTTAAACTATTAATTATTGGGATTGAAAATCTGTTAATCAAATGTTCCTTTAAGGGCGTCACAACTCCAGCATGCATGATTGTTTTTTTTGGGTAAAAGTCAGGGCAAAGTTGTGTGGCAGCAAATCGTCTGCAGCTGACTTGAAAACCCTGGAATTTCTGGTTTGTGAAACCCCGTTCACAATAACGAAGACACATGCCGACTTTTTGAGTCAGAAAGAGTTCAAGTAATTGCTAGATGAAGAGAGTTAATGAAAGAGTTCAAGTAATTGCTAGATGAAGAGAGTTAATGAAAGAGTTCAAGTAATTGCTAGATGAAGAGAGTTAATGAAAGAGTTCAAGTAATTGCTAGATGAAGAGAGTTAATGAAAGAGTTCAAGTAATTGCTAGATGAAGAGAGTTAATGAAAGAGTTCAAGTAATTGCTAGATGAAGAGAGTTAATGAAAGAGTTCAAGTAATTGCTAGATGAAGAGAGTTAATGAAAGAGTTCAAGTAATTGCTAGATGAAGAGAGTTAATGAAAGAGTTCAAGTAATTGCTAGATGAAGAGAGTTAATGAAAGAGTTCAAGTAATTGCTAGATGAAGAGAGTTAATGAAAGAGTTCAAGTAATTGCTAGATGAAGAGGGTTAATGAAAGAGTTCAAGTAATTGCTAGATGAAGAGAGTTAATGAAAGAGTTCAAGTAATTGCTAGATGAAGAGGGTTAATGAAAGAGTTCAAGTAATTGCTAGATGAAGAGAGTTAATGAAAGAGTTCAAGTAATTGCTAGATGAAGAGAGTTAATGAAAGAGTTCAAGTAATTGCTAGATGAAGAGAGTTAATGAAAGAGTTCAAGTAATTGCTAGATGAAGAGAGTTAATGAAAGAGTTCAAGTAGTTGCTAGATGAAGAGGGTTAATGAAAGAGTTCAAGTAATTGCTAGATGAAGAGAGTTAATGAAAGAGTTCAAGTAATTGCTAGATGAAGAGAGTTAATGAAAGAGTTGAAACAAAAACCAGCAAACAGATAACATTGATAACTTTTACATAACTCAGACACTGCTATGATGTAAATACATTTGTTTCAAGGATACACACCAGCAACCTGGACACCGATCTTGTAGTCCGTGTAGCTCTTTGTGGGGTGGAAGTTGAAGATGAACACCAACGTGTCAGCCCTTTCAAAGACGACCAGCTTGTCGCTTTCATGTTTCAAACTGACATAGTTCTGAAATCATCAGACTTTAAAAGGATGATTTCAAAAATGGATTGTTCATTATACTAAAAACTCTGAACACACAATCAGCTTGTCGGTATCATATAGCTGACGTAGTTCTGAAATCATCAAATTTTGAAAGGATGACTTCAACAAGCCAGTGCAGTTTATAGGGCTAGAAATGTCAACAGGAAAAAAGCAACAACACTAACCAGTACTGTTCATTGCTCATTTAGGTTTGAGGTTTTGAACAAAGGATAAACATCATGGCACAATAAGCACCCAGAAGTGCTCCGTTCTTCTAATTCAAGTCTGAGTCCAAGGAAGCTCAGCACAGTGCACAGGCTCTGTAGCACTGGCGAGGATCCTGAAATATTTTGACTAGATTTTACCAGTGCTCTTTAATGTGTATACGAGCAAGATTGCTGAACTTGAAGCCCCAGGTGTTGGAAGGATATTAACATTTACTGATGATGTTCTTGCGTATAGGCAGGGGAGTAATAGGTAACGGATAGCCCAAGAGCTACATGCAACTGTAGACAAGGCGACTGACTGGTTGCAGAAATGGCTGCTGTCATCAACTTAAAAAGTGGCTGTTTTGTGGTGCTCTCTGGAAAATAGAATTGTAAGAGCGGATGTTTCAAGCCTCACAATTAATAACAGTAACATTAAAAGAGAAAGCAACTGAGTACCTGGGTATCATTTTCGATAGAAGCCTGTCCTTCAGGGATCATGTAGATGCAGTTGCAGTGAAATGCCAACAAGGACTCAACGCTCTCAAGATTATGGCAGCGGTGGCATGAAACAAAGAATGATGTTCACAATGTTCCAGCATGAGATCCTGCCGGTGACAGATTATAACTTGGAATGCTTACTATATCAAAGAGTCAGCTGATGAAACTCAGACGCATAGAGAATGAAGCCCTGCTGGTAATTATAGATTGTAATTATATATAGTAATTATAGATACCCGGGTATGTATGCGATATATCTTCTTCTTCTTCTTTGCGTTCACCAGCTGTTAACTCTGGCGGAAGGTTCTGGTTGCTCGTCCACTACTGAACTGCAGTCCTGCTTCAGAACCTGAATGTTGCGTGTGCATCAGTTTTACAGATCTCATTCTCTTGAATACAGACTGTTGGTTCCTTGCCTCTCCGGCAGATGCACTCTGACTTCAAAGGAAGCTCCCCAATTAGTCGACTCTTACGACATGCTTTTGGGGAGGCAGTGGGTCTATTCTTGTTCTTCCCACAATGGGGCCTCGGAACCCACACAGGGGTATGCGATATATGCTTGCCCTGTCTACTATTGCTGATAGGCTCAATGTTCTGCAAGCAAAGTTATTATCTCAGAGTAGCTGCAGACAAGAAGCACCTTCTGCATGAAGCCCTGATTGATTGATTGATTGATTTGATTCAAGAACCGACATCACAGCACTCGGTGCATTCCCATAAGCGCTCCGTCCCCAACTTCAGCATCTAGCGAAGAGTTCCGATACTAATGGTGCCAGGAGCATTATGATTAAACGTTCGTCTTGCCTTTCCTCTGAGCCTCGAGCATCTGCCAAAACCTATCGTCACTCCCCGCTGCATCAATCTCATCAGACTGTGGTGATCCATCTGCTCCTCCGAGCTGTACACGCTCTCCCACAAGGCACTAACCACGTCTGCCTTATCATGTATCAGTATTCCACCAAGTTGTGCAGAGCCAGCCAGTCTGTTCGCGTGTTCATTTCCCAACACACCGGCGTTCCCGGTGAAAAAATCCAGGCAATACTCCTCACCCGTGTCCTCCGCAGCGAAGCATGCCACTCTGCACGAAGCATACCTGTTCTGATCTTTCTCAGCATGCTTTCTGAATCAGTTACAATCACGATGTGTGTGTGTGTGTGTGTCTTGTTCTCTAGCCAGCGGAAAGCTGCAGTGACCACCTCCACCTCCATGAAGCCCTGGGTAAAGCTAAGGGTCACAGACTGAAAAGAGGAAGCTCTTGGATGGTGCAAGCTGAAGACACAATCAGATTTGTGTGGGGGGGGGGGGGGAGATAGATCCGCTGTGCCCTAACAATTTTATCGTGACAAGTACCTAACTAGTGTTCTGCTCTATCAGATGTGTTGATACAAATGTGCAGATATTGCAGTCTCGCTGTAAACCACAACACAGCATGCCAACCGCCCTGTTATTGGACAAATACACAAGGAGTTCTCCCCAAACACCTGGTTATACAGACGAAGGAACATTATACTATTAGTGCATACAGAGGAAGAAACATTATATTATTAGGGTATACAGAGTGTAATGGGGGATATTTTCACCCTGATTGGGAAGGTTGGGGGGAAAGCCCAAGTTAAAAATAATACCAAGAGAAGCCAGATACTCGGATAAATGAGGTTTTCAAGGTAGGGGAAGACCACGAGTTATCACGTGGAACCCAAGGAGAACGACCACAGGTCGCCACGTGGAACTCCCCAGTCTGATCAGACAGTATGTGTTGACCGTCAGAACGAGAGAGTGATCGTGCGAATGCGAACGTGAAACTGAATGTTGCGAGAGGAAGATCAGACGAAAACATCCATCGAAGCACAGTCCAGCCAAGTCAGATGTGAAGCTTGATGCAATGACCAGATCCATCTATACGGCGATGTGAAACTGAAGACGCCGAACTCTGGTTGGTGAATGTGTGAGCAGTCAGCGTGTTGGCGTCTGAACACTGAACAATGTGTTGGCGTCTGAACAATGTGTTGGCGTCTGAACAATGTGTTGGCGTCTGAACAATGTGTTGGCGTCTGAACAATGTGTTGGCGTCTGAACAATGTGTTGGCGTCTGAACAATGTGTTGGCGTCTGAACAATGTGTTGGCGTCTAAACAATGTGTAGGCGTCTGAACAATGTGTTGGCGTCTAACAATGTGTTGGCGTCTGAACAATGTGTTGGCGTCTAAACAATGTGTTGGCGTCTAACAATGTGTTGGCGTCTAACAATGTGTTGGCGTCTAACAATGTGCTGGCGTCTGAACAATGTGTTGGCGTCTGAACAATGTGCTGGCGTCTGAACAATGTGCTGGCGTCTGAACAATGTGTTGGCGTCTAACAATGTGCTGGCGTCTGAACAATGTGTTGGCGTCTGAACAATGTGCTGGCGTCTGAACAATGTGTTGGCGTCTAACAATGTGTTGGCGTCTAACAATGTGCTGGCGTCTGAACAATGTGTTGGCGTCTGAACAATGTTAGTTAGTTAGTTAGTTAGCTGGGTTATCCTCATTGCACTCCGGACATGTCCATAGGTGCTCAGATCCTCCCCTCAGTATTAACCCCAACGTCCGATGGCTAATAGTACCAGTTCTATGTTGATTAACAAGTCTTCTGGCGTAGCTGGTGTGCGTCTCGTTTTTTGCTGTGCCGATCTTAATTCCCAAGTCTGCCATTCTGGCGAGTGATGTGGATTCACTGCCACCAAAGTCCTCTATCCTTCCCATTTCTCTGAGGGCATTGATAATATCAGCATGATCCATAGGCTGACCGTCGGTAGTAATAGCGGATCCAGCCAACCTGTCAGCTCTTTCATTTCCATCGACACCTGCGTGTCCCGGAACAAAAATAAAGGTGACTTTACGAACAGTGGACTTCTGTAATGATTCAAGCCATTGTCTTCGCACTGAACCTGCCTGAACCCTCCGGATCATACTCATTGAATCACTGAGTATACACACGCGGGTGTATTTTTGTGTTTCAAGCCAGGCAAGCGCTTGTGTCGCTGCCATCACCTCCATCGTCATGCTGCTGGTTGTCATGGAGAAGGCGCCGTTGGCTTCTTTGACTGTTCTGCCCGCTGAGCGTGCTGTAAATGCCCATGCGCTTCTTCTTTGGCGTATAACGGATCCGTCTGTATAGATTATTGCATCTGCTTCGTCTGAATTTTCACCGATGAGAGCGTTGACCTCTGCATTAACAGCAACAGGATTCTCTTCTCTACATCGCCTGTTGAGTGTGACAATACAGGAAAATGTACAAATAAACGCCTGAGGCACAGGTATCCATTCTGCACCAGGTATGATGTCGGTTAGGCTGCATATTTGCCTAATAACATCTTCTGCCCGACCTAGCCACGATTTCCCCCTCTTCAGTCTGTCGCCCCTTTTACTAAAAAGCGCTTGATGCAGTGGGTGTTTCTTATCAGCGCATATTTTGAGATATGCCCGAGCCCTCCACATCCTGATCCTTTGATTCATTGTTGGAAAGTCAAGTAGATATCTCATTGCTCCACAGGATGTGTCTCTAGTACATCCCAAAATAATGCGCATGGCTTCATTTTGCACCTTTTCGAGTCGTTCAATCTGGGTAGCACTGACAGTGAGGATGGCCAGAGCGTATTCAATGGGGGAAAGGACCAGACCGTAGAATAGAAGTATTAGCAGTCTTTGCTCAATATTGGAAGCAGCCATAATCCTCATTGCAGACAGACCTTTGCGTGCTTTTGTTATCACATGGTCAACGTGTTCCCTGAATGACAAGCTGCGATCGAATCTCACCCCGAGAAACGTCATAACGTTGGTTCTGATCAATACATTATCACGCATTTTCACTTCTGGTAAGTCCGACTTGACAATGTGATTGTTCAAAGAGAACCATGACACTGATGCCTTCGAAGGATTGACATAGGCATTGGAACCATCACACCAGGCGGCAATTCGATCGAGTTCTTTGTGCATAGTGCTGGCGATCTCCTGTCTATCACGCCCTCGTCGATAAATCAAAATGTCATCAGCAAATGACAAAGTCCTTCCCTTTCCATTCAACTGCTGCTCAGTGATCATCACCGTATAAACGTTGAATAAGACTGGTGATAGCGGTGATCCCTGTGGCAAGCCTGGACATATCGTTTGCGGTTCTGAGGACCAGCTACCACATCTTAGTACAATCTTTCTCTGGAACAGGACCGCAGCAATCCAGCGGATCAGAATAGGATTAACTTCTAGTTTAAGCAGTAATTGCATTAAATAATCGTATGGTACTTTATTGTAGGCATCCTCTAAGTCCAACACTGCCGCACATGTCTCTTCTTTAATCTGAAATCCCTCGTACACATCGTAGGCGAAAACTGCAGCATTGAACCATGTCTCTTTATTTAACCTGTACCCTCCAAGTGTTGGTGGGAACTTATCATGTAGTTCCAAGTAGGTGGTCAATCTTTGTGCGACAATTTTTTCCAAAAGTTTGCCAACAGTATTCTGCATCGAGATGATTCTGTAGCCGCAGATCTTCGAGTGGTCTTTATTAGGCTTTGGTAGTGGGAACAAATAACTATGGAGCCATTCCTCTTGTATCTGGCCAGTCTGGATGCTGATATTAAAGTCCTCTGCCACGCTTTTCAAATCAGCATTCGACATCATCAGCATGTCGTTGTATCGGATGCCGTCAGGGCCTGGAGCAGTGCTGCGCGATTTCTTGAGGCAAGTTCTTAAGGTATCTGCAGTGATTGTGAGATCAGTGCCTAGCACAGTGTTCTCGCACAGCATCGACAGTTTCATCTTAACCCCTATTCTTGTAGCTTCGTCTTTTTGGTCAGTTTGCTCCAAGTAGCGTGCCAGAAGGGTTTTTCCTTTATCAGCATCAGTTCTCTGCCATATCAGGTCTGTACCCTGAAAATCAGGGATACCCCTTGGTCGTGCAGCGCCGTGCATGCTCCGCTGAAGGCGCCAGAATGTCACAAGAGATCCCTCGGAGCAAACGCTCTTGCAGAATTCGTTCCATTTCGCTGTCTTAGCTTCCTTCGCAATTACCTTGAAAGCCACTGTCTGCTTGTTGACCTCATCTTTCAGACTGATCAGGCGTTCAGAAAGTGACGGATCAATTTTCCTTGCCTTTTGCCATGCCTTGACAGCTTTCCTTTTTTCTAGCCACGCCATGTTGACTACTTCATTCCACCATGGTGGCTGGGCCCATCTCTCCCGCCGTCTGCGATCTGCTCTTGTTTTACGTCGTCGGATTTTGCTAATGGCATCTTGCCCTGTACGGTCATATATAAAAGCAGGCACATTGATTACATGACCTTTGTTGTTGCTCTTCTCTACCAGGACGACGCAAGGAAAGTGATCACTGTCGTGGTATCCCAGTGTGCTCCACCTGCATCCTGATGCAATGGAGGGAGACACTAGGGCCAGGTCAATTACGCTGTCAGAATCCCCTTGTCGTGTTGCCATTCGGGTAACCTTTCCGTCGTTCAAGCATACTAGATTGGCAGACACTAGGGCATCCTCCAGGTCTTCCCCCTGTTTATTAGTGATTACATTGCCCCACTGGTGTCCTCTGGCGTTGAAATCTCCGCAGTAAAGGATTTTCTTTTCCTCCGTCTGGAGCAAACTCTGCCATTTCGCTGTATCCACCTTTCCATTGCAGGCGTACACATTGACAATCACAAACTGGGCCGGGCCCATCACTCTGACTGCGTGTACTTGTAAGTCGTCATTATTCCACTTAGACATGTCCACCTCAGACACCGGTATGTGGTCACGAACAAGAATGAGCTGTCCGAGGTGCCGTCTATTGTAGAAGGATTGGAAGCCCGCAATTTTAACGATCTCGTCACCGAGGTGTGTTTCCTGTAGGACAACAATGTCGTTGCTGTAGAGGAGCTTCTCAAAAATGGGTCAGCGTTGACTAAACGAAGCGCAGTTCCAGTAGAGAACACGAACATACTTTAAACTGAGTCTCTCACATTTCAGTCGCTTCCTGCAGGCGCCACCGTGCTTGCCTGTTCGCGTTCTCCTTGTCCGTCTACGGGTTGTTTTGAATTGGTAAATAGTCGCCATCGGACGTCGAATATACCCTGAGGGAAGTCTAAACTCACGTGCATGTACTCCATTGCACGGTTCAGAGCCCATTCCGATGAAACTTTCACATTATACGTGAGCGAAAATAGCTAATTTGCGCCATTCGCCTCAACGGACGAAAAAGCGTACCGCCATTGTGGCTGTTTACACCGGAAGTCGTCTGAACAATGTGTTGGCGTCTAACAATGTGCTGGCGTCTGAACAATGTGTTGGCGTCTGAACAATGTGTTGGCGTCTGAACTATGTGTTGGCGTCTAACAATGCGCTGGCGTCTGAACAATGTGTTGGCGTCTGAACAATGTGTTGGCGTCTGAACAATGTGTTGGCGTCTGAACATTGTGCTGGCGTCTGAACAATGTGCTGGCGTCTAACAATGTGCTGGCGTCTGAACAATGTGTTGTGTGAAAACTGTTGATTAGGACATGGACGGGACAATCTATATAAGTGTTAGATGTCAATAAACAGTCTTGTATCTTAGAGACGATGTCGGCTTGTCACAGCTATGTCACCTTAGAGACTGTATAAGATCATCCACTAGACACATCAACCCCTAGAAGATGAGTAGTGCTAGTGAAAGCACGACTTATTGCACAGAGGAAGAAACATTATACTGTTAGGTTATACAGAGGAAGAAACTTTATACTATTAGGTTATACAGAGGAAGAAACATTATACTATTAGGTTATACAGAGGAAGAAACATTATACTATTAGGTTATACAAAGGAAGAAACGTCATACTATTAGGTTATACAGAGGAAGAAACTTATACTATTAGGTTGTACAGAGGAAGAAACGTCATACTATTAGGTTATACAGAGGAAGAAACATTATACTATTAGGTTGTACACAGGAAGAAAAATTATACTATTAGGTTACACAGAGGAAGAAACAATATACTATTAGGTTATACAGAGGAAAAAACGTTATGCTATTAGGTTACACAGTTAGAAACATTATACTATTAGGTTATACAGAGAAAGAAACATTATACTATTAGGTTATACAGAGGAAGAAACATTATACTATTAGGTTACACAGAGAAAGAAACATTATATTATTAGGTAATACAGAGGAAGAAACATTATACTATTAGGTTACACAGAGGAAGAAACATTATACTATTAGGTTACACAGAGGAAGAAACATTATACTATTAGGTTATACAGAGGAAGAAACATTATACTATTAGGTTATACAGAGGAAGAAACATTATACTATTAGGTTACACAGAGGAAGAAACATTATACTATTAGGTTACACAGAGGAAGAAACATTATACTATTAGGTTACACAGAGGAAGAAACATTATACTATTAGGTTATACAGAGGAAGAAACATTATACTATTAGGTAATACAGAGGAAGAAACATTATACTATTAGGTTACACAGAGAAAGAAACATTATACTATTAGGTTATACAGAGAAAGAAACATTATACTATTAGGTTACACAGAGAAAGAAACATTATACTATTAGGTTATACAGAGAAAGAAACATTATACTATTAGGTTATACAGAGAAAGAAACATTATACTATTAGGTTATACAGAGGAAGAAACATTATACTATTAGGTAATACAGAGAAAGAAACATTATACTATTAGGTTATACAGAGAAAGAAACATTATACTATTAGGTTATACAGAGGAAGAAACATTATACTATTAGGTTACACAGAGAAAGAAACATTATACTATTAGATTATACAGAGGAAAAAATATTATACTATTAGGTTACACAGAAGAAACATTATACTATTAGGTTAGACAGAGAAAGAAACATTATACTATTAGGTTAGACAGAGAAAGAAACATTATACTATTAGGTTATACAGAGAAAGAAACATTATACTATTAGGTTATACAGAGGAAGAAACATTATACTATTAGGTTATACAGAGAAAGAAACATTATACTATTAGGTTATACAGAGAAAGAAACATTATACTATTAGGTTATACAGAGAAATAAACATTATACTATTAGGTTACACAGAGAAAGAAACATTATACTATTAGGTTATACAGAGGAAGAAACATTATACTATTAGGTTATACAGAGGAAGAAACATTATACTATTAGGTTACACAGAGAAAGAAACATTATACTATTAGGTTATACAGAGGAAGAAACATTATACTATTAGGTTATACAGAGAAAGAAACATTATACTATTAGGTTATACAGAGAAAGAAACATTATACTATTAGGCTATACAGAGAAAGAAACATTATACTATTAGGTTACACAGAGAAAGAAACATTATACTATTAGGTTATACAGAGGAAGAAACATTATACTATTAGGTTATACAGAGGAAGAAACATTATACTATTAGGTTATACAGAGGAAGAAACATTATACTATTAGGTTAAACAGAGGAAGAAACATTATACTATTAGGTTAAACAGAGGAAGAAACATTATACTATTAGGTTATCCTGAGGAAGAAACATTATACTAAAGGTATAAAACATTTAGCACACCTGGCTGTGGCTGAGCCAGTTATATTTGGACTCCAGATGGATCATTGCCCTGTCAAAGTTGTTGAGGAAGCGATATTTCAGCATGTCATCATCCACAAGGTTGAACTGACGTCTGGCATAATGGAAGCTTTCATTGTTGCCATAGCGAGGGAAGTCCAGCCATTCTGGGTGTCCAAATTCATTACCTGCAGGTGGGGGGGGAAAGGGGGGGGAGGGGCAGTAAATTATTCAGCTTTACTTAGAAGTAATATAATATATTCTCCAGGTAATACCGGTGTGTTGGGAAATAAGCAGGCAGATAGACTGGTCTGTTCTGCACCACTTGGTGGTGAACTGATGTATGACAAGCTGGCCGGATGTTGTCCTTTGGGAGTAAGTGAACACTGCCGAGGCACAGATAGTTCGTGGAGGTCTGAGGAGAATGGCACTGCGAGGGGTTACAAGGGGATCTGGCCGACGCACGACACTCCTTAAAATATTTTCCATTTATTGCTCTATGTGCTATTTAGAAGATTACGTTTTCAGTCGTCGTTGGAACAAAACTCTTAAAGGTAGCGTACTGTTAGTTGCTAGCAACTTTAGAAGAAAACATCTTGATACTGGCTAGTCAACCCTATAACAAAATTAATTTAAGAGCAACAGATGAGATGGTTTGGCCATCCGATGATAATGGCATGGCAGAAATCAAATGAATACAGATCAAGGAGAAGATGGCGCAAAACATGGAACAACAGCATCGGGGACAGAATGAAATACATGAAGATAGTTTATACACTGCATTGGAAAGAGATTATCCTCACTCCTCCCCCCTCCTTTCCATGAGATGATTGGAGAAAGTTGTGAAAGTCGGGTGGCAATCGGTTGCATCCCACATTGGAGCCCCAGTTAGACACAGTCTCTTGTCATAGACTTATATGCAATACAAAACCGTATGTGGTTCAGGCAAATTTTCTTGCATTTCCCAATGCAATTTCCACAAACAGGAGACATTCTATTGCACAAGCCGCAATGTAATTTACACCATTATCTACAAACGATGTGGCATGAAATTATACATCGATAAAAAGGGGCTACGGCTTGCTAACAGATTTGGGCAACATCTTTCTGATGTGCAGATGGTGGCCTCAAACAGGCCCTGGTGCATTTTAATTCTCAGAGTCGTCAAGGTGTCTTCAACCTGGAGGTTTCGACCATCACATCTAGCCACTCCAGTTACAGAGTCTGTAAGTCTTTCGACAGCTGCCTCATCTATTTAAAAAGCGCCAATTCGCCTTGGGGACTTAATGTCTATTTCCGCTTTATCTAATATTTTTCAGTTATATCTTTTGATAGTCGCAGCTTTTCATGACTATTATTCATTTCCTGTGTTCACACATGTCAAAGCTTCAACTGGCCAAACAGATATGTGGATTTCTCTCCGAGATACGTCCTAAGTGATTTTGGGTATTCTTAATCGTAATTATAACACTGTTCACGTATGGTGAAAAAGTCTCTCAAGCCACAGTGTTTACTTGTCCTTCTATGCATGTGACGTAATTTTTCCTTATTTTGAAGCCCCACCCCGGCTTTTACCGGGGGCTGCAATATAACCTAACGGTTGAACGCAGTTTCTGGGACCTCTCCAAAGGTGATCCTCATCCTCATGGTGCCTCTTTGTGTCACCGGGTGTTTAACGCTTGTATGATGTCCTGGTGGGTAAAATTTACTTACTTATTTGTCGTTCGAATTTCTGATAATGTAAAGCTGGCTAGTCCGGATAGTTTGGTCTAATATCATTTCCTGATAATCTGCTGGAAGAGAAGAACCCTGTTTGATGTACATTAGAGCCTAATCCCACCTCTGCATCTTTTAATAGTTTTATGAGGTGAGGTGACCAGTCCCCTTTCTTCAAGGATTTGCCTACTCAGTCTCCAAGCCCAGTGATCAAAGTAACGTATGTGACCATTTCAAAAAGCCACCGAATAGGATGGCTACACATACTATATCATCTTTATAGTTTTCTGTATTTTCCCACATAAAAACTAACAATATCATTTTCTTCTCTACTTCCTCTATTTTATCAGATCTGATAACAAAGCAGATATAAGATTCTGCTTTTTGCTCTTTTGTCTGCTTGCACCATAGACATATCGTGCTGTCTGCTTGCACCATAGACATATCGTGCTGTCGTAGTTTCCTTACACAAACCATCGATATAATCATCTATTGTCCCTGTGCACCATAGACATATCGTGCTGTCCTAGTTTCCTTACACAAACCATCGATATAATCATCTATTGTCCCTGTGCACCATAGACATATCGTGCTGTCCTAGTTTCATTACACAAACCATCAATATAATCATCTATTGTCCCTGTGCACCATAGACATATCGTGCTGTCGTAGTTTCACTACACAAACCATCGAGATAATCATCTATTGTCCCTGTGCACCATAGACATATCGTGCTGTCGTAGTTTCACTACACAAACCATCGATATAATCATCTATTGTCCCTGTGCACCATAGACATATCGTGCTGTCGTAGTTTCACTACACAAACCATCGATATAATCATCTATTGTCCCTGTGCACCATAGACATATCGTGCTGTCGTAGTTTCACTACACAAACCATCGATATAATCATCTATTGTCCCTGTGCACCATAGACATATCGTGCTGTCCTAGTTTCCTTACACAAACCATCGATATAATCATCTATTGTCCCTGTGCACCATAGACATATCGTGCTGTCGTAGTTTCCTTACACAAACCATCGATATAATCATCTATTGTCCCTGTGCACCATAGACATATCGTGCTGTCGTAGTTTCCTTACACAAACCATCGATATAATCATCACCATCATCTTATTGTCCCTGTGCACATGACATATCGTGCTGTCGTAGTTTTTCCTTATATAATCATCTATTGTCCCTGTGCACCATAGACATATCGTGCTGTCGTAGTTTCCTTACACAAACCATCGATATAATCATCTATTGTCCCTGTGCATCATACAAACCCTCGATGTGTTCAGCTACTGTCCCTGTGCACCATGCAAACCTATAATGTGATCAGCTGTTGTCCATGTGCACCATACAACCACAATGTGATCAACTACGGTCCATGTGCACTACGAAAACTTATGCTGTAAGCAGATGTATGCTAAACACATTCGATTAATTTTTTTTTTAAATGAAACTTCATTACGCCAAGTTTGATCCCACATGGTTCGGTCTCTCTATGCAAAATGCCACCTGCCTCCCATGATTGTTGCGCAAGACATGAACTCCGTAGCTCAGGTAACAACCCCTGGGAATTGCACCTGTGACTCGAATTGAGCAGCCCTGAATGAGAGGCAAATGCCTCAACTAGCTGGTCATAGATAACACACCCCCCCCCCCCTTTTTTCCCCCAAATGTGATAGATCTAATCTCTCTTACCAATGAAGTTCAGATATGCCTCTCCACCAAGTCCTAAAGTGATCAGTCGGATCATCTTGTGTAGAGCTATGCCCCTGTCAATGATCAAACTCGGTCCACTCAGCTTGGACATGTGTGTGTACATCTCCTTGTCCATCAGCCAGAAAGCAATAGTTTTATCCCCTACCAGAGCTTGGTCGTGGCTTTCTGCATAGGCGATACACTTCTCTCCATAGCGGCGGTTGGTTAGCGTATGTGTGATACTGGCCATGTTCCAGTTCTCATCCGAGGATTCCTTCAGGATCTTCAGATAGATCAAATAGTTATACACACATGTATATAGTTTACAATTAAAAAATTAAATTTTATACTGGAATGTTAACACAAATCTCATTAGATGCCCCCCTTTTTTTTAAGGATCTAGATATATAAAATAATTTGTTATAACTGGCTAGGACTCTTCAATCCTCTACATGAGTGGTTCTCAACCTTCCTAATGACATGACCCTCTAATACCGTTCCGTATGTTGTGTGACCCTTTAATACAGTTCCTCATGTTGAGGCGGCCTCCAACCATACAATTATTTTCGTCACTACTTTATAACTCCAATGAATATTTGTTTTGCGATGGTTTTTGGCGACCCCTGTAAAAGGGTAGTTGGACCCCCCCCCCCCCCCCCCAAAAAAAAAGGTTGCGACTCAAAGGTTGAGAACCCCTGCTCTACATTATCTGATATTATGAGGCAGCTGGTGCTGCTTGCTTTATGATATGTTGCCAAGTTGTATGAGCTTTCAAGGCTGCCTGTGCTTCTTTTGCTAACACTGACCATCGTCACACTGAATCCTGTGTTTTGCCTCTTTTGTTGATGTACCTGATGTATTTCGTTTGTTTCATATAGATTTGATTACCAATGCTACTGAAAGTCAAAGTTGAAGCTAAGACGATCCACTTGGTAGCACCAGGCTATCACATATAGCTCAGTCTCTCTCTCTCTCTCTCTCTCTCTCTCTCTCTGCAGACTGGTTAGTCACCTGCTGAGAGCATCGCACACAGCACAAATTCCGGATCTCCGGAAAATAACATTTGTGAACTGACTGACACATCCATGAATCAAACCCATGACATTCAGAACAACAGGCAGACTTCACCACTAAGACGTAAATGACTAATGCTACAACAGCTGCATACTGCCGTGTTTCATTTCTTCTTGGATATACTTCGGTCATATGATGAGAAGTGAGGCCCTGGAGAACTTTGTGATGGTTGGTAAGGTCAATGGTAGAAGAAGCAGGGGAAGACCAAGAGAGACAATGCTTGTCCGACATGAAGTAATGGCATGGTAGGAACATCATCACCGGAACTGATTCAAAGTACCAAGGACCAATAACTGCCGAGTGGCAAGGAACAACCAACTGCACACGAATGAGCCAGTAAAACGGATTTCCACGCAAAATCAGGCCCTGGCACAAGGCCAAATGGACGAACAACCAGGACTTTCCGCCGGAACTTACAGCCGGTGAACGGAGGAAACCAACAAGATTTACAGAAAAACCAAAGCATTTTTATATCGTAGAAGGAAAGAAAGACATTGCTCTCCTTTAAAAAAAAAGTTTTAGCCGGCTCCTCCACACTCCCCACCCCCTCTCTCTCTTTCCATACACACACACATACATATATATATTTATGTATAGTGCCGATGGGTCTTCACAATTGCAGGTCACACCCGTAATGCCTTTTGGGCCAAGGGCGTAAAAAGAATCTATTACTTTACTTACTTAACATCACTGTGAGGTAAATAGCTGGTGCAGCCATATCATAAAATAGCAAAGTAAACAATTCTTGTTAACACTCAGTGTGTGTCAATACCATGGCAACCAGCCAGGGTATTTCTTTGACAGCTATATAAGGCCAGAAAACTTCGAAAAACTTAAAGCGTCCTTGCAATTGTTAGTTATTTTGAAGCCCCACCATAGCTTTTGCTGGGGGTCCTAAATATAGCTGGGTCTTAAATATGGCCTAACGGCTGAACATGGTTTCCAGGACCTCTCCATGGGTGTCCTCATCCGCTTGTTAGCGTTTGTGCCACCGGGTGTTTATCACTTTGTGTGATGTCCTGGTGGGGTACACACACAGAAAAACTTGTCAATGCTTCTCATGCAAATACAGAAAATTTAGCGGAAATCAAAGAAAAACATGTCACTGAAATGTACATAATAGCAAAACTAAAAGGACCAGAGTAAACAATATCATACCAATACCAAAATAAGTGAATAGTGAGAAATCAACAACACCAAAAAGGACATTATTTGTCCAATGGCTGAGCAAATAACCTTAATCCACAAATCTGGGATGGCCATTGCCAGCCTGTAGTCAAAGCCACCACCGCCTTCCAGCACTGGACGACACAACATGGGCATTCCAGACACTTCCTGCAAGTCACGAGATATCTTCTGGTCTCAGTTTTATGGGTAATACATTCTTTCTATTTAAAAATTCACCACCAACACTTAGTTTGTTTTATTGTTAATATATTTTTTCTATTTAAACATTCACCAACAACACTTAGTTTGTTTTGTTGTTAATGTATTCTTTCTGTTTAAACATTCACCACCAACACTGCATTTGTTTTATTGTTAATGTATTCTTTCTGTTTAAACATTCACCACCAACACTCCATTTGTTTTATTGTTAATGTATTCTTTCTATTTAAACATTCACCACCAACACTTAGTTTGTTTTAATGTTAATATATTCTTTCTATTTAAACATTCACCACCAACACTCCATTTGTTTTATTGTTAATGTATTCTTTCTATTTAAACATTCACCACCAACACTAAGTTTGTTTTATTGTTAATGTATTCTTTCTATTTAAACATTCACCACCAACACTTAGTTTGTTTTATTGTTAATATATTCTTTCTATTTAAACATTCACCACCAACACTCCATTTGTTTTATTGTTAATGTATTCTTTCTATTTAAACATTCACTACCAACACTTAGTTTGTTTTATTGTTAATGTATTCTTTCTATTTAAACATTCACCAACAACACTCCGTTTGTTTTATTGTTAATATATTCTTTCTGTTTAAACATTCACCACCAACACTCCATTTGTTTTATTGTTAATATATTCTTTTTATTTAAACATTCACCAACAACACTCTGTTTTATTGTTAAAATATTCTTTCTATTTAAACATTCACCACCAACACTCCATTTGTTTTATTGTTAATATATTCTTTCTATTTAAACATTCACCACCAACACTCTGTTTTATTGTTAATATATTCTTTTTATTTAAACATTCACCACCAACACTCTTTTATTGTTAATATATTCTTTCTATTTAAACATTCACCACCAACACTCCATTTGTTTTATTGTTAATGTATTCTTTTTATTTAAACATTCACCACCAACACTCTGTTTTATTGTATATATATTCTTTCTATTTAAACATTCACCACCAACACTGCATTTGTTTTATTGTTAATATATTCTTTCTATTTAAACATTCACCACCAACACTCCATTTGTTTTATTGTTAATATATTCTTTTTATTTAAACATTCACCACCAACACTTAGTTTTATTGTTAATGTATTCTTTCTATTTAAAAATCACCACCAACACTGTTGTGGAAAAAAAGAGGATCATCGAACAATTTTTGATAAATTTTTTCAAACTTCGTCATCTACATGTGGGACGAATGTTTTCGTTATTTTAAAGCCCCACCCTGGCTGTTGCCGGGGGCCCTAATATAAACTAACGGTTGAACGGCGTTTCCGGGACCTCTTCACGGATGATTCCTTATCCGAATGGTGACACTTTGTTTCATGGGGTGTTTATCGTTTTGTGTGATGTCCTGGTGGGGTAAAACGTACTTACTTACTATAAAGTTTTTTTTTTAAACGATGTTGTCATAAAAATGATATACCCTGTCATTATACCGCCATTTGCATATGATCTCCAGAATCACAGATCGGGTCAGTGTGCTCTTGTCTCAATTCATCCATAAAGCCCAACAATCCAAGTATTCATCCCTATATATTCTTGCTTACTTCCCATTAACTTTGAATTCCGAAGCCCATCACTTCTCATAAACTGGGCCAAAAAATATTGATTATGTCTAATTTATCTAAAAAGGTCATCAAGAAAAGACAATGTTTGCACAGTAATACACGTTGAGATCCCAAGTATTTAGTTGTAGAAAATAAATATAGTAGTCAAAAGAAGTACTCGAGGAGAAACAAATTTGTATGTCATCATCTGACACATAATCATGAGCTGTGGACAAAGAAACACCATCATGGAACTGTGACCTGTAGAAATATTTGCTCCTCCTCCTTCACCCTCTTCTACTTCTGCTCCTTCTCTAGTCCTCATCTGCCTTTCAGCATCATGTTTTAAAGAGGCATCAGAATCGAGCCCTGGTATGTGCTACGTAGATGCTGGTAGTTACGGCTTCGGATATTCCAACTATTCATCTCTTTTGTGGTCGACGTTTAGCTTTGCTTCCGTAATGTCTGTCGATGTCTAGCTCTGCTTCCGTAATAACTGTCGACATCAAGCTCTGCTTTTGTCATGTCTGTCAACGTCTAGCTCTGCTTCCGTATTGTCTGTTGACGTCTAGCTCTGCTTCCGTATTGTCTGTTGACGTCTAGCTCTGCTTCCGTATTGTCTGTTGACGTCTAGCTCTGCTTCCGTAATGTCTGTCGACGTCAAGCTCTGCTTCTGTACTGCCTGTTGACGTCTAGCTCTGCTTCTGTATTGTCTGTCGACGTCTAGCTCTGCTTTTGTAATGTCTGTTGACGTCTATCTCTGCTTTTGTAATGTCTGTCGACGTCTAGCTCTGCTTCCTTAATGTCTGTTGACGTCTACCTCTGCTTTTGTAATGTCTGTCGACGTCAAGCTCTGCTTCTGTACTGTCTGTCGACATCTAGCTCTGCTTCTGTATTGCCTGTCGATGTCAAGCTCTGCTTCTGTACTGTCTGTCGACGTCTAGCTCTGCTTCTGTATTGTCTGTCGACGTCTAGCTCTGCTTTTGTAATGTCTGTTGACGTCTATCTCTGCTTCCTTAATGTCTGTTGACGTCTAGCTCTGCTTCCGTAATGTCTGTTGACTTCTACCTCTGCTTTTGTAATGTCTGTCGACGTCTAGCTCTGCTTCTGTATTGTCTGTTGACGTCTAGCTCTGCTTCCTTAATGTCTGTTGACGTCTACCTCTGCTTTTGTAATGTCTGTCGACGTCTAGCTCTGCTTCTGTATTGTCTGTTGACGTCTAGCTCTGCTTCCGTAATGTCTGTTGACGTCTAGCTCTGCTTCCGTAATGTCTGTCCACGTCTAGCTCTGCTTCCGTAATGTCTGTTGACGTCTAGCTCTGCTTCTGTATTGTCTGTCGACGTCTAGCTCTGCTTCCGTAATGTTTGTCGATGTCTAGCTCTGCTTCCGTAATGTTTGTCGATGTCTAGCTCTGCTTCCGTAATGTTTGTCGATGTCTAGCTCTGCTTCCGTAATGTTTGTCGATGTCTAGCTCTGCTTCCGTAATGTCTGTCGACGTCTAGCTCTGCTTCTGTAATGTCTAAGTGAGAGGCCTCTCTGTGGTGCACTATCTTGTGGTAGTCTTTATACATGACTGAACTATTTTATCTGTCTTCTCTTGACATTGTTCAGCACTGTTTCTGTCCCAGCTTCTTTCCTGATATCGTTATTTTCGATCCCGTCTCTTCTAGTTACATTCAGTCGTAGACATTTCAATTCTACTGTTTCGATTTGTCTTTTTACTTTTGCTGTTAATGTCCATATCCATAATTAGAACTGGTAACACAAGGATGGTAAAAGTACTGTATTGAATAACCGTGGAATTGAACAACTGTGAAATATGACCGGGGGAAAAGATGTAACGCATTGTGAAGATGGTTTACACGATAGAGAGTTAGAGGCATAGAAAACAGATTCAACTGCTAACTTTTGAAAGACAGTCACATCCTGCCTGACCTCTGCCACTGTAATAATGAAGTCAGCATACAGAGAATGCAACATATGGTTGGCCAGCATGAGATAGGTCAGAGACTCTGTGTCTGTGTTCAAGCTGAAGTACTCGTCGTAGTGACCACTGAAGCCATGACCTGTTGACACCATATGTACACAAGTTGTTAACGCATGCACATGTAACCACACACTAGACTCTACCATGGTGATGTGAAGTTATAACACATGTACATGTAACTACACGCTAGACACTACCATGGAGATGTGATGTTATAACACATGTGCATGTAACCACACGCTAGACACTACCATGGAGATGTGAAGTTATAACACATGTACATGTAACCACATGCTAGACACTATAATGGAGATGTGAAGTTATAACACATGTACATGTAACCACATGCTAGACACTACAATGGAGATGTAATGTTATAACACATGTACATGTAACCACACGATAGACACTACCATGGAGATGTAACGTTATAACACATGTACATGTAACCATATGCTAGACACTATAATGGAGATGTGATGTTATAACACATGTACATGTAACCACATGCTAGACACTACCATGGAGATGTAATGTTATAACACATGTACATGTAACCACATGCTAGACACTATAATGGAGATGTGATGTTATAACACATGTGCATGTAACCACACGCTAGACACTACCATGGAGATGTGAAGTTATAACACATGTACATGTAACCACATGCTAGACACTATAATGGAGATGTGATGTTATAACACATGTACATGTAACCACATGCTAGACACTACCATGGAGATGTAATGTTATAACACATGTACATGTAACCACATGCTAGACACTACCATGGAGATGTGATGTTATAACACATGTGCATGTAACCACACGCTAGACACTACCATGGAGATGTGAAGTTATAACACATGTACATGTAACCACATGCTAGACACTACCATGGAGATGTGATGTTATAACACATGTACATGTAACCACATGCTAGACACTACCATGGAGATGTGATGTTATAACACATGTACATGTAACCACATGCTAGACACTACCATGGAGATGTAATGTTATAACACATGTACATGTAACCACATGCTAGACACTACCATGGAGATGTGATGTTATAACACATGTGCATGTAACCACACGCTAGACACTACCATGGAGATGTGAAGTTATAACACATGTACATGTAACCACATGCTAGACACTACCATGGAGATGTGATGTTATAACACATGTGCATGTAACCACACGCTAGACACTACCATGGAGATGTGAAGTTATAACACATGTACATGTAACCACATGCTAGACACTACCATGGAGATGTGAAGTTATAACACATGTACATGTAACCACATGCTAGACACTATAATGGAGATGTGAAGTTATAACACATGTACATGTAACCACATGCTAGACACTACAATGGAGATGTAATGTTATAACACATGTACATGTAACCACACGATAGACACTACCATGGAGATGTGAAGTTATAACACATGTACATGTAACCACACGATAGACACTACCATGGAGATGTGACGTTATAACACATGTACATGTAACCACATGCTAGACACTACCATGGAGATGTGATGTTAAAACACATGTACATGTAACCACATGCTAGACACTACCATGGAGATGTAATGTTATAACACATGTACATGTAACCACATGCTAGACACTACCATGGAGATGTGATGTTATAACACATGTGCATGTAACCACACGCTAGACACTACCATGGAGATGTGAAGTTATAACACATGTACATGTAACCACATGCTAGACACTACCATGGAGATGTGAAGTTATAACACATGTACATGTAACCACACGCCAGACACTACAATGGAGATGTAATGTTATAACACATGTACATGTAACCACATGCTAGACACTACAATGGAGATGTGAAGTTATAACACATGTACATGTAACCACATGCTAGACACTACCATGGAGATGTGAAGTTATAACACATGTACATGTAACCACATGCTAGACACTATAATGGAGATGTAATGTTATAACACATGTACATGTAACCACATGCTAGACACTACCATGGAGATGTGAAGTTATAACACATGTACATGTAACCACATGCTAGACACTACAATGGAGATGTAATGTTATAACACATGTACATGTAACCACACGATAGACACTACCATGGAGATGTGAAGTTATAACACATGTACATGTAACCACATGCTAGACACTACCATGGAGATGTGATGTTATAACACATGTACATGTAACCACACGATAGACACTACAATGGAGATGTGAAGTTATAACACATGTACATGTAACCACATGCTAGACACTACAATGGAGATGTAATGTTATAACACATGTACATGTAACCACACGATAGACACTACCATGGAGATGTGAAGTTATAACACATGTACATGTAACCACACGATAGACACTACCATGGAGATGTGACGTTATAACACATGTACATGTAACCACATGCTAGACACTACCATGGAGATGTGATGTTATAACACATGTACATGTAACCACATGCTAGACACTACCATGGAGATGTAATGTTATAACACATGTACATGTAACCACATGCTAGACACTACCATGGAGATGTGATGTTATAACACATGTGCATGTAACCACACGCTAGACACTACCATGGAGATGTGAAGTTATAACACATGTACATGTAACCACATGCTAGACACTACCATGGAGATGTGAAGTTATAACACATGTACATGTAACCACACGCCAGACACTACAATGGAGATGTAATGTTATAACACATGTACATGTAACCACATGCTAGACACTACAATGGAGATGTGAAGTTATAACACATGTACATGTAACCACATGCTAGACACTACCATGGAGATGTGAAGTTATAACACATGTACATGTAACCACATGCTAGACACTATAATGGAGATGTGAAGTTATAACACATGTACATGTAACCACATGCTAGACACTACAATGGAGATGTAATGTTATAACACATGTACATGTAACCACACGATAGACACTACCATGGAGATGTGAAGTTATAACACATGTACATGTAACCACATGCTAGACACTACCATGGAGATGTGATGTTATAACACATGTACATGTAACCACATGCTAGACACTACCATGGAGATGTAATGTTATAACACATGTGCATGTAACCACATGCTAGACACTACCATGGAGATGTGAAGTTATAACACAGATACATGTAACCACACGATAGACACTATAATGGAGATGTGACGTTATAACACATGTACATGTAACCACACGCTAGACACTATAATGGAGATGTGACGTTATAACACAGATACATGTAACCACACGATAGACACTACCATGGAGATGTGACGTTATAACACATGTACATGTAACCACACGCTAGACACTACAATGGAGATGTGAAGTTATAACACATGTACATGTAACCACACGCTAGACACTATAATGGAGATGTGACGTTATAACACATGTACATGTAACCACACGCTAGACACTACCATGGAGATGTGAAGTTATAACACATGTACATGTAACCACACGCTAGACACTACCATGGAGATGTGACGTTATAACACATGTACATGTAACCACACGCTAGACACTACCATGGAGATGTGAAGTTATAACACATGTACATGTAACCACATGCTAGACACTACCATGGAGATGTGAAGTTATAACACATGTACATGTAACCACACGCTAGACACTACCATGGAGATGTGAAGTTATAACACATGTACATGTAACCACACGCTAGACACTACCATGGAGATGTGAAGTTATAACACATGTACATGTAACCACACGCTAGACACTACCATGGAGATGTGAAGTTATAACACATGTACATGTAACCACACGCTAGACACTACCATGGAGATGTGACGTTATAACACATGTACATGTAACCACATGCTAGACACTACCATGGTGATGTGACGTTATAACACATGTACATGTAACCACATGCTAGACACTACCATGGAGATGTGACGTTATAACACATGTACATGTAACCACACGCTAGACACTATAATGGAGATGTGACGTTATAACACAGATACATGTAACCACACGATAGACACTATAATGGAGATGTGACGTTATAACACATGTACATGTAACCACACGATAGACACTATAATGGAGATGTGACGTTATAACACATGTGCATGTAACCACACGCTAGACACTACCATGGAGATGTGACGTTATAACACATGTACATGTAACCACATGCTAGACACTACCATGGAGATGTAATGTTATAACACATGTACACGTAACCACACGATAGACACTACCATGGGGATGTGACGTTATAACACAGGTTTTTGTAATTACACGCTGGACCCCACCATTGGGTGTCAAGTTATAATAATCTGTTTACATGCAACCACATACTAAACATGTTTATTGCATGTGAACCATAAGCTTTTTACATGCAGTAACATGACAGACACTAACATTGCATGTGAAGTTATAAGCTATTTACATGCAATACCATACTAAACACTTCCACTACATGTGAAGTTATAATCAGTTAAGATACAATCACATGCTAGACACTTCTACCGCATGTGAAGCTATAATCCATTTACATGCAATCACATTGTCAGACATGGTAATCTTAGTTTCAGCTTCATAGCAAACGAGTCACCCCATAGTTGCCCCGCTTCTGTGCCAAAGAAAAACACACAGAATGTTCGTCGCAGTCCCTTGTAGAAAGACTGACAGACTGATGTCTCAGCATATGCACTAGCATACACACGCATTAAAAGCATACGATAGCCATCAGAAGTGCTAACACAAACAGTTTGACATTAGAAATGCAGTTCATCATCGACGGTAGCAGAAGTCGCCAACAGATCAGCAGTTGCGCATGCGATCAATATTAATCACAAAAGGGCACCACCAATATTGCGGCGACAGACCGCGCGCCATTTTCTGAATCTACAGTTCACAACGCCACGTTGGTCACAGTCGAAAAACATTCCAAATGAAATCTGCGCCATGCACTCAACTCTCAACTCAGTAGCTGCCACGACGAAACTGTATCCTTTCAGTCTACAAATGGATAAA